AATCAGGTGTGATTCTTATGTCTAACTTCCTACTCTGTGATCAAATAATAATTGATCTGATACGACAAGTTAGCATAAAAGTTTATTACTCTTGTAGTCTTTTATACATTTTAGTATTATTTATACCATTTTATAGTTATTTCTTTTAGTCAATTACAGTATTTAGATTATTTGTTGTAAAATGAACTGTAACTATAAAGGATTTTTTTGTTTATAATATTTTCACACTGCAATTTTACCTCAATAATTCTATCCACATCCTATTTTATGCTATTAACATGATTTTTGTTTTTATACTTACAGTAGCGTAAGAGCTATGTCATTGGTTATATGCTGGTCTATGACCTATTAACATGATTTTTGTTTTTATACTTACAGTAGCGTAAGAGCTATGTCATTGGTTATATGCTGGTCTATGACTGAAATAAAATTGATTGATTGATAAAACAAGTGCACAAAAATGTATTTGTTGTGTGTGCATGTATAGCACAGCTTGCTTTATCAAGTGGACACCCCCAGCTAAAAGGGTGCTGTGTAATTTTATAAATAAATCAGACTAGATCAAATGAAAGAAAAAAGAAAATCAGTCTCCTATTGAGAACAGCACTTATTCTGCAGGACAATACTTTATAGCTGTATAACAATCTGCTGTTGGAAGTGTTTTGCAATCCAGAGGAAGCATGGCTTATTCCTAGTGATGTGAGTGAACATGCTAGATCAGGCTAAAGGCTTTACAGAATCAGATTAAAGGTTTACTAGTTTAGTTTCCATAGTGACCATTCACTAATGTGAGTGCAGGGATAAACCGAACACAGGCTAAAAGAATTGAGATTTAATCCAGACAAGGTAGAAGTAGAGATGGTCAGTAAACAAGCTGGGGAATAAAAATAAACCTGGAACAAAACAGCGAGAACGCTTTGGTGCCCACTTTTTGGATCATTATTACTTTATTACTCCCCATCTATTTCATATGCATTGGCTTCATGTTTGTTTCCAAAGCCAATTCAATGTTGTTGTTATTACCTATAAAGCCCTGATTAATTTAGAACCAGGTTACTGGAAGGATGTCCTGCAAAGAGCCACCCTTGGCATCAGAACTGTCACTGGAGATTCATTTATCATCATGGGAAAAGCAAAGCATAGTAGCATAGATTTGAACTGTTGATGTATGTAAACCACTGTGGTCTATATGGATTTTACAGCATACAAATCTAATCAATGCATACAAATAAGTAACAGAGGATCTTTTTGGTTGCAACATTGTACGTGCTAGAAGTGAGGCTCAGAAAAATCTCTCGGATCCTTCGGAGAATTTTGGTGGATGAGAGGATAGGAAGCGAATACTACTTTTTTTTGCCAGGGTTTAATGGTTTTAACCAGGTATTAAAGAAAAACAACTACCAGTAAAGATGCTTTTTTAAATTGTGGTTTTATTAACCAGATTTGTGTGGTGGTGAACTATGGGGTTCTTATGAGGGCTGAAAGGTGCTATATAAACGTTTCAATAAAAGCATAAATCCATTGGAAACTCACTAATAAGGCATGTGTGGTATAGCCTTTTCTTGTTGTTGTCCCCCTTCAATTAATATAGTACAGTACCACGTTCTATCCTGGAATCAGAATAGTCATCATGACCACAAGCCATGGGTAGCCCAATCCTCATGAATCAACCTAATTTCCATTTAAATTCAGCTAAATTTTTATTTTCTGCAGACCACAGTGAGAGTGTTTGATCTCTGGTCAGTGTAGTTTCAACAAAATCACAACTCTTGATCCTCAAAATGTGCACTTTCCCCATCACAGAGATTAATGTCAGCATTGGAAAGTTTTATTAATTAAGCTGGCCACATTGGCAGCCACTAGAAATACAAGTCTAAAGACAGGCTGTCCAAGTGTGATGAATCATGATAATGGACAGGATACATAAAACAATGTACTTTTCCAGACAGATATATATTTAAACATGCAGAAGATGCTGAACAGCAAAAGCTTGTGCTTATTTGTTTGAGCGAAGTGTAATGAAAAGCTTTTATACTAATCAGGCTACAAGTGGAGCAAATGCACAAGATGTCGATACAATAGCCATTGCCAAAGCAATTAAAACCAAGAAAAATGTGCAACTTCACCCCCTCCCCAAAACACAACCTTCACATGAACTAGTTAAGAATCAGAACTGAACCAACCCCTCATCTTCATAAAGGTACTTGACAATTGCCCAGAGGATTACAAACAGCATTGGCACACCTGGAAAAAAAAAAAGGAAACAAGAAATGCACAGAGAATGAGACAACAGAAAAACAATCAGGAAGGGCTTGCAATGTTGTGAGGTTTTATTCAATGCAGAAATTCCTCAGTCAAAATGAGATTATAAGTGGCATGCATAGCCTTTTACACTTACAGAGTCCCCTATAATTATTTGATGACTTTTAAAATGCTCTCTCCTTGAGTAAGCATCTGGAAATCATACAGCTGGAAGCACTACACATCTTCAGTTACAGTATGAGACATCATGTTAGTCATTTCAGTAGGTAGGATGAAGCCCCAAAAAAGTGCTAGAGGCTTGTTTTGTTCAAATACTTAAAATGCAAACAGAAAAATCCAAAGAAATGAAATATCACATTCACATTCCCCTAATTTCTTGGACGCTTCTTGGATATCAAGTACCAGACAACATACAAAAATATAATTCATACTAGAAAGATGGCCATGCTGTCCTTGGGTCTTCCACAAGGAGGTGCTGATCCATTAACATAGATGATGCTCCCTCCCCATGTTCCCAGGGCGCACAGGTTCCAATTTCCTCCTGCTTCAATGTATTGCATCATGGAGGCACAGGCTCAACTCCCTCTTATGATAACTTCACATTCCTATCTAGAACACCTTTTTAACCAACCCATTCCTATGGAAAGAAAATGTGGCTAATAGTCTGCAAAGAAAATATGCTTTCCTCCCAGTGTTACTGGCTATGAATATTAAAATGCTGATACTGCTGTTGAAGGATTGTATATTAATAGGGATAAAACTGTACAAAGTCACTAAGCAATTACAGTTTGTTTTATGCATACCTGCGTGGCACAGATAAGTATAAATTTTCTTTCTAATCTCCCCTCATTTCCTTTACATTTTATGCTAAACTATTCTGTTGATGGGAATTTAGTAACTTTGATCTAATTCAGATGGATAAAAGGTTTAAAATTAAATGTAGAATTCAGGTTGAAATTTAGACTTAAAGCAAATTTATTTGCTTTAAATGTTAATTACATGTATGTAAATTATTGTTATTTTTACATTCCCATTGTACTACACTATCTATTATTTATGTAATTATGGCTTAAATAACATATTTACATTTCTCTATTCATTACATTTATCAATATGCCATAATTTTTTTTTTTACTTATATATTGGTTTTACTCTGCATGTTTTTGTAATTTTTATTGAATATTTCTTTCAAACTTCATTTTCTAATTGGAACATTCTGGTTACCAGCATTAGTTCACTTTTGCCAAGTTCAGTAAAGCTAAAATATAACCTATTTTCACTACTGTCCCAGCTGTGGTGTTTTAATTAAAAACTGCTCCTCAATTATTAGATGAAAAGTACTAATTAGTAGACTGGATAGTTCAGTACTGTTCAACTAACTATGCAAATTGAAACCATGCATAGGAACTTTGAGAAGTTATTATTTGGTGATTGTAGATATGGCCATTCAAGTATTTAACATTACATTATCACACAATTCAATAAATCTGCAATTAATCAAATAGTTATTAATTGGCCCAAGTGATCATATAAGCAATAGGCTTAGTCACATGGTGAATCAGCCTCCATGTACATAGAAACCATTAGCCAGCAATAATGGATAACATTTCTGGGTATTATTACAGGTATTTTTTCCTTATCTTCTCAATATTGTCACCACTATTGCCTTCAGTATGTACTTACTCTTCCATTAATACCTGGTTTCTTCAAACAAGAGAGCGAAAGAAACTACTGATACTCCTTTACTTGAGAAATTCATTCTGATTTTTCTGCTGTAAGTAGAGTACGTAGGCAAGTGACATGAGGGCAGAAAATCAGTGCAAGGACAGAAATAGGATTCTCTGGTTAAATGTGATTTGATCCAAATATAATGCCTAGCCATGGTTTAATACTGCATGTGTGATCCTGGGATATTCTAACTTTACCTCTGAAATTGTGTAGCAATCTACACTTAGCTGTTGTGAACTATGTTTTATGATTAGACTGAAATTCAGATCAAACCCAATTTGTAAAAGGTCTGTAAAGACAGGGAAAAACAAACAAAAGGGAGAACTGCGTGTGCCAAGGAATCATTCCAAGGTTCTTCCCATAGACTTAAATCACACTTGACATTCTTCCTGAATTCAACGTACATTGTTGCTATGTTTTACCCAATAGCAGCTACAGGCAATCAAAATCTTTATATACTTCTAGTTCTCAACACAATGGAGTATTAAATCCAATAAGAACTCTTATGGATTTCAGGGAAGAATAACCAGTATTGCTAGGAATGTCAAGAAATGTCAATGTGTAGTTTTTTTTTTCAAGAAAAAAAATCAAAGGATACATGATGACAATATAACTTGCTGTTGTGCTATGTTGTTTCTTAGATAACCAATAAAGAAGTTAGCCACTGTAAACAATATACCACCTAATGGGTCAAGAAGAAAAGAGAAGCTTTCATGAGCTGGAACAGAGTTTAGATGATTTTACATCAGGAATGTGATATTTAAACAATGAATATGCCCAGTGAGATGACAGAATTAGCATCAGTGGACTTGTTCAGCACAGGTATTCCATAACTGCCTACTGGAATAGATAAATAAGAATAAATATAGTCCAGCTGTGATACTGAAGAAATGTGTCAGATATCTCATCCCAATTAATTTCTATATCCAGGTGCATATTTAATTCAAAGAAACATTTATTTACTGTGAATGTTATCTTCTTGACTTTGTAGAGAATTAAGGTTGAATTTATAAACTATTACATTTGTAAAATGAAATATGCAAACTAAAAGAGAACAGATTATATTTCTGCAGAACCAACAGATGTGCAAAGCAATAACTACTGTTATTGTAGAAGTTTTCATGGCCAGAATATATCAGAAACATCTCCACTTCTGACTGTTATTTAATATTTGAAATGCAGGATCCAATTATTAATCCAAATGCCAGTTGCTGTGGAACCCACTGCAGTGCTCTGAGTCAAAAAGTAATAAAGAGCTCAGATACAGGCTGCTGAGTTGCTGCTAAATTTCACTGGTTCCATATGTTGAAGAGTCTATGCTTTGCATTGGACCATTATATACCGTGCAGTTACCACTATCTTTGAGCAATCTTTCCTCAACAGGATATGCTCCAGATAAGTTGAAAATGCCAGTCCAAATGTCAGCACATGGAAGAAAAATGTCTCTACCACATTAGAGAAAAATGTCTTTAGAGGAGATGCAACAAGGCATGTAAGTTGCTGTCTGATGGTCCCATGTAGTTTTCTTTCTTTCTTTTCTCCTCAGCTGATATTTCAATATCCCTTATTTTATGGAACTCAGATTCTTGTTTGACTGAGTTGTTGATTATTGTCATTCTTCTGTGTACTTAGGAAGTTCTCTATGCACCTGGAAATTGTCATCTTCTTTTTGTGTGCTTGCTTTCCAAACGATAAGACCTCGGTTACCTGATTTTTTTTTTAATTGGGGGGTAAAAAAAATATTATAAATGAAACATAGTGAAAGCATTTAAGGGCTTGTAGAAAGCAATGAGATGACCTTGAGGGAAATAGGCAAAAATCATTATGTAAGCAAAGAGGGATGAAACATTCCTTAAGTCCTGTGAAACGAGACAGCATTTGGAAGACACTCAGGCTGGCTCCTCCCCAATTCACTGAGGGGTAAGAGGGAGGGGAGGTAAAGCACACTCAGGCTTGCAAAATTCTGTTATTATAGCCTCAATACATTATAGCTTGAATCTTCTGGTGGAGTCCGTTTTCTGATCTGATCTCACTTATAGGGCTGACAGCACCATAGCAGCTGACTGTGCAACTCAGGATGGAGGCTGGAGAAAGAAGAAAAAATGAATCCACTCACATCCCAAGAGATTACGACACAGTCCTCTTTACATACTGACCGTTCAGATTTATTCCCTGGTAAGAGTGTTTAGGACTCCAGCTTATCCTGGAAGAGGAAAGTTTTGGGAAAGGCATCAGGAGGTTAAACCTGGGGATAAGATGGTCTCTACGGATGAACCTGGAAAAGATATATTCAGGGATTGCTTGTTCCAATTTCCAGTGAATAGTTGTAGCTACACTGGATGCAGTATTGGACCTTGAGACAGGATACCCAGACCTTTTGGGAGGCACCATGGCTGTTGTTCCTCTCTCATATCCACCGGGGCAGAGAACCAACCTCCTGACACAGAAAAGGATGATTAAAATCACCCCTGCCTCAAGCAACTTACCTTGTATGCCACCCTGGATAGCCCTGCAAAGTGTGTAATGCTGTCCTTTCAGTCAAGGTGCGACAAGGCATCAATCCCCTCTGCTCTGTTGTCTTGGAGTTGGGCAAGACAACCTCTTGGGTAATGCCAGTGTACTCTTGACTCACTTTACCACAAGGCCCTGTTCCTAGAAACAGTGAAGCATTAGGCTGCAGTGGTTCACAGTTTTTCCCATAGAAAGTTTTCTAATGAGTAGGTCATCCAGGTAGGCTTAGACATGGGCTCTCCTCAGCTTACCAAAAGCCTCCCTTATTTTGATGAATACTCTGACTGCTCCAAATTGAAATTGATTGTTCCTGTACACAATCCTAAGGAACCTCCAGCAGGGTTTTGGATTGGGAAGGCCTAGTAGGTCTCTGAAATCCACTGTACCTAGAAAATTGTGCAGCAGGAATGGCTTCTGGTATTGACTTTAATGTCTCCATAATGAAGCTTTGATGCCTAATAAATTTATTCTGAGGACTGAGGATCAGGATAGCTTACAATCTCCATTTTTCCTAGACATCATAACAAGCTAGGGAAAAAATGGCATAGAAGACCTCTTCTGGGGTGTACCCTCTGTTATGCTCATGTCCCATAAATGCTTTATTGCCTCCTTCATTCTGAGATATTTATCTTCATTCAGGGAGGCAGAGGATGGTAGAAATCTGTCCTTCGGCTTTCTTACAAGTTTTAGCAACAGTCCATCTCCCCAGCATCCATCCGTTCTGGCAGATGTGTTTCCAGGTA